AACTAAGGACCAACTGTTCCAAGTTTGTAGCAATTTTTTTGATTTCAATTGGATAGCGGATGTAGATGTATCCGGCCAAATTGCAAGATTGAAGACTTTATGGAACGAATTAAACAGTGGGCTTCAGGCATCGGGAGAAAATAAACTACCAGAGCTGCTATTAGTATGCAAAGCGATGCAGATTCTCCCAAATAGTTCCCAAAACTTCAAATCAAGTTGGCTAATGCTAGGTGAAGAAAAGCAGTCGATAGATGATTTAATCACTCATCTCTGTGCTTTCGAAAGAGAGAAAGACTTTCGACACAATCGATAAATCATCAAGGCAGAACGCCTTAGTTGTAAATGTTGAAAAACCAAGTTTCAACAAATCAAGAGATTTCACTAAAAGGACAAAACCAGTTGGTAACTGCAACTATTGCCATAAACCTGGACACTGGGTTAAGCAATGTAGAAAGTGGGTCAGTGATGGAAGACCTTTTAAAAATTCCAAAAATGTTTCAGCGACACCCAGAAAAGCATATGATGAAACATCAAATGTAGTTTTGTGCACGTCAGCCAGTAATCAAACACTGAGAGACAACACTAAGTGGTATATTGACAATGGAGCAACAAAGCACCTAACGAACAATCCAGATAATTTTGTTACTTTTGAGAAGTTTGTTGCACCATGTTCTGTTCAAGCTGCAGGAAAAGAAGTTCTTGCTGCTGTGGGTAGAGGCGAAATAAATATGCTTTCAACAGTAAATAACAAACAACAGTATATAAAACTCTCAGATGTCTGGTATGTTCCAAATATAGGTAGAAACCTATTTTCCATATTAGCCGCACAAGATAAAAATTCAAAAAACAGCAAGTTTGAATCTTATGCAACCAAATGTCAACTCAGTATAAAGAACCAAGTGGTAGTACAAGGGACAAGACAAGTAGATGGTTCCTTGTATGAGGCAAACTTGATTTCATTAACTCCAGATACACTGGCTGAAGTGAATATAGTCAGTGAAAATTCAATAGTGCAGCTCTACCATGAACGTTTTGGTCATCAAGATAAACGTCACATAAAGAATGTTATAGAAAAGGAGTTAAACATTAAAGTTCATCTTGACAAGGATTTGTGTGAATCATGTTTCTATGGTAAAGCACATCGGTTAAAATTTGGCAAGAGAAATGCAACCAATAAACTAGGTGAACTACTATCAACAGATGTTTGTGGTCCTTTCAGTACAGAATCATTTAATAGTAAACGATATTTTGTTGTTTTTAAAGATCATTACAGCAAAATAGCATAATGAGGTTCATTTCTTTTCTTAGACACAGAAATGAAGTGAAACAGGCACTACAAAATATTTTGTCTCAAGCAGCGACTCAAGGTCATAAAGTAAAAGAATTTTTGAGTGACAATGGGGGTGAGTTTGACAACGAAGAAGTTCGAAACATCCTGCGCAGCCATGGAATCACGCAAAGACTAACAGCACCATATACACCTCAACAAAATGGTGGTAGTGAACGTGAAAACAGAACAATAGTAGAAATGGCACGCACATTGAAGTACTCAAATCCAGATTTTGAATTTCCAGTCGCTATGTGGGCTGAGTTATGTTCAACTGCAGTATATTTACTTAATCGAACAGGCAAGTCGTCGATTGAAGATAAAAGCTCATTTGAAATTTGGACAGGTAAAAAGCCGAGAATTAATCATTTGAGAATAATTGGCTCTACATGTTTTGTTCACATACCTGATCAAAAACGTCAAAAAATGGATAAGAAAGCCATAAAAGGTTACCTTGTTAGTTACGATGGTGACGAACGCTATCGTATATGGCTCAAAAATCAATATAAAACGATATTCTCAAGAGATGTAGTTTTCCAAGAAAAACCTATGAAATGTACAACATCATTTGAACATCAGACTCAAAAAGATTTTACAACAGATCCTCAAATCAATTGCAAATCAGAAAATGACTCGAGTAGTAGAAATGATGATTCAAAAGAAGAAATTACAGATGACACTGAGAAGATTATAGATAATTCAGTTAAAGTTCAACTCAGAAATAGGTCAAGCTTGCAGAAACCTAAGAAGTTAGATGATTATGTGATGCAGGCTGAGACATATTTATTAGATGTACATGAATGAACCAGATACATACGAAGAAGCCATTCAAAGCAGAGTCAGACTGAAACTCCTGTGTGGACATATGGGACTAATGTCATAAAATGTTTTGAAACAAGGGAAATAATATATATGTATATTATATATGTTTCAATATATTTATGACTTTCTATAGTTTCAGACAATCTTATTATTATTGCTAACTTGACTAACTTGCACGTGTATACTTTTCGCTTTTTGTTGACTAACGTGTCTTCTAATATTTCAATTAACGTTTCTTTAATAAACAATTATATTAAAAACAAACAAAGAGGTTTTTTATTTTAAACAGTTCGTTGTTGACTATGTTGAATTTTCCATCCCGGTTGGCTAATTCATAAAACTAATTCAATCGCTTGATCGCGTGGACGGTGAATGGCAGAGGAGGAGAAGATCCATTGTTGGGGATAATTTAAAAAACTCTCGACACATTCATCTTTTTTCATTTTTTTGTTCTGCTTCCTTGAAACCTTTTGGGTTTTTTCTGTTTCGCCATCCATGCAGTTGCAGGGTTTTTTTGAAATAGAACAAAACGCTGTCCTCAATTTCTTATGAAAATATGCAAGCCAATGATTATCATACCAACACACATACACAAACAAACACACTCACAAACGAACATACTGTCGACACACTCACACACACAAACAAACAAACGTACATACACATTCACACATACCATAACCAACATTAAACACACACACAAACTTACAAACAAAAAAATCCAATTGAACTAGTAAATATGTAGAGAAAAAACCCAGAACAAACACACTTGTATGAAGAATTTTTTACTGATGAAAAAAAATACACAAACATGGAATTTGCATATAAACTAAAATATTATGCCTGCATGTTTGTATATGTGTTTGTATGCGTGTTTGTATGCGTGTATGTATGTATGTGTGTATGTATGTATGTATTTATGTACGTATGTATGCTAATTTAATATGCTGATTATTTTTGCATTGCTCCTACCTTAAAAACTCCAGAAAAAAAAGAAGTACATACCTTTTTTCATGATCTATTTGTTTGCCTGTTGTATATTTTATTTACATTTTTGTAAAAATTTTTGTTTATTATTTATATATAATTATTTTATTATATTGCTATTCATTTTTTTCTTGTTATTATTGTTTTATTTATTAATTCTATTATTATTATTTTATTATTTTTTTTTATTTGAATAAGTTCACTCGACAACGTATTGTCACTTGTCCTTTGAACTTTCATACATTCGATACTTTGAGTTTGTTTTCTCTGCATTCTTTTTCTTTGAAATTTTTTTGTTTCATCCTCATTCATCATGATAATCGTCTTTGTCGTCGTCATCACCATCATCGTCATCATCATCGTCGTCGTCGTCATCAATAGTAAAACATTAACAAAGCTAGAAAAAAAATTCTCAATAGAATTTTTTAAACTTTTTCGTCTGCAAATATTTCAACCGTATAAGACGGAAAATGACTTTCTCTTCATCATGAGAATTAACTAAATGTCATTTCCTTTATTCATTCATTTATTTATTTAGTCATTCTTTCGTTCGTTCTTACGTTCGTTCGTCGTTCTTTCATCCAGCCAATCAGACAGACCAGCGATCCATCCATCTAACCATCAATTTATATATTTGTTGATTCACTCATTCATTCATTTTTTCACACAAACAAACACACACGCACATGTTTATTCATCGTTGTGTGTGTGCGCGTTTATATGCATGTGTATATTTAAATGTGTGTGCGTGCGTCCATGTGTGTGTGTGTGTGTGTTTGTGAATCATTGTTCAAAGTTGATTGATCAACGAATGAATGCAGAACGAAGGCTGTGCACAAAAACACTTTTATCTGAAAAATATATATAAATAAATATAAATATTATTAATGTGTATGTGTGTGTGTATGTACGTGTGTATGTGTGTGTCTGTGTGTGTGTTTTGACAAAACCGTAGTTTCTCACTGTTACGCATATTTGTGATGAAAGTTGAATGGTAAATCAATGATGATATGTCTCTATTAATTATTTACGCACCTTATTCTTATTCAGTTACAATACAACATCAACTTTGTGGCATCAACCTAAAAAAACAAGGAGGAAACTACAAAAAGACATTGTGTGGCATTTGTAAATTTATTTGTATTAATGTTAATGACATCAACAACATAATTGTTTTTGTAACTACCATCATATATTTTGCTTGCAATCATCATTACTCCGTCATCATCAACAACAACAACATCGTTATCATCATCATCGTTAATGACATCCAATCAACATCGTCATCAATCTCTCTCTCCTCTCTCTTCTCTCTCTCTCTCTCTCTCTTTCTCTAATTTATCCAGTAAAAGCCTTCAACAACAACAACATCATCGTCGCCGTCGTCATCATCAACAACATTATATAATATAAATCGTTGATAGTAACAACAGCAACAACAAAAATAACAACAGCAGCAACAACAACAACAATATCAACAACAACAACATCATCATCATTGTCATCATTATTTTCCTCATCATCAACAAAAGCATTGTCATCAAAAGACTTCTTTCTCTCTCTCTTAACATAATCAACACAACAAACCACTTCATTAAGAAAATGACATTATTTAAAAAAGAAGCTAACTCCTAATTTCCAAACTTCATCACTACAATCAGTTTCATTACGTCAAAATAATCAACATCTTCAACATCATCATCATCATCATCCTTCTAATCATCATCATCATCATCGCTAGCTATCTCATAGGTAATAGAAGTAATTTATAGAATAATTTTTCAAAACGACGTCATCTTCTAAAATAGCAACACCAGCAATTTCAAACTCAAAAAACAACATCAGCATCAGCATTCGTTAAAAAATGTCATCATTTTCCGGTTTTCGGGAAGGGATAAACTTCCTGAAGCGTAGATTCAGCTCAAACGATTTACCAAGTGAGAGCCAAGATGAAGCTGAGCCCGTCGCCACAACAACCACAACAACAAATACTTCTACTGAAACTAACAAAACGGAAGCAACCACCACAGCCAACGACATTCCAACAACAACAACAACCACGTCAACAACGTCATCATCAGCCAACAACGACATTGCAGTTAATTCCCAATTCATTCCAAATGACGTTCATTCCACAACAGCTGTTACAGCAACCTCAACAACTGCATCAGCTACATCAGCTGCAACTACAACAACAGCTGCAGCAACAACAGCTCTAGCTCCCAAGTCATCATCTCTTTTGTCATTCCCTCAAAGAGGGACTTACCCTAGCGCACCAAGCTCACCTTCAAAGAGCACTGGTAGTAGTGGCGGTAGTAGTGGTGGTAGTGGTGGTAGTAGTAGTAAGTCAAGCGATGGATTGTCGTTTACCAGAAGTTTGTTTGGTAGAAATACCAGCAGCCAGCAGCAACAACCTCAGCAGCAGAGGACATTCGGAATATTTGATAAACACGTTCCTACTACGACTACTGCAGCCTCAAACACGGCTGCAACGTCGACAACAGCCACTACTGCCACTTCTGCGCAACAAGTTGGACTGCTATCGAAAATGTTGCTGGTGGTGGATGATTCTCTTGACGTTGTATGGTACGTCGCTCGCATTCGTCTCATTGCCTCTCCTCAGTGACTTTTTTCCAAACTATTTTCGTCACGTTTTTTTTTAGTTTGCGCTTATTCTCAGATGTATTGTTTGTTTGTTTGTTTTTATGGTTTTTTTATTTGTGTTTGTTTTGTTTTAATTTTTAATTGTGAATAGTTTTTATTTTTAGAGATTTGAAGGTTTTTGTTTTGCAATCTTTCGTTAGCTTGTTAGCTTGGCATTTTCATATTTCTATTTTCTCTCCAGACATTTGTTCGCAACATTTTCTGTTTTGTTTATAGTCGTTTGTTTATTTTCAGCTATCAGTGAGTGTGTGTGTGTGTACGTGTGTGTGTACACGCCTGCGTGTGTGTGTGGTGTGCGTGTGCGTTCGTGTGTGTGTCGAAGACAGGCTTTCATTGCTATTTTCCTCATCTTCGATATCTTCATCAGTGTTATAGCATTTCATCACCATCTTTGATCGTGTATCATCACGTCATCAGGTCTGTTATAAAATATGATTATCTTTTTAGCTATCGTCATCGTCAGAGTCAATGTAATCCCCACCACCACCACCATCATCATCATCATCACCATCATCATCATCATCATCAACAACAACGTTGTTTTAATCATCACCATCGTTCGCAACAACATCATTATCATACTTCTCCTCTTCTTCTTCCTCCTCTTCCTCCTCAGCAGCAGCAGTGGCAGCATCAGCAGCAGTAGCCGTAACATCATCATCCTCATCATTACTGTAATGACCTTCAATGCGTAGTTTTTCCTCTGAGATGCAGTTTAAAATTGTTAAGCGTAGAAGCCATTGTGGAGAAATTTAAAAGAAGAAGAAAAAGACGTTTAATAACGATAATTAAATGATAACAACATGACGATGATGATGGTGATGATGATAATACAACGACGACGATGATAATAGGATGGTGATAAAAATACTGAAATACACGTTGTGTTAGTATTGATTGAGTAATGTAATATGAAAAAAAACAGCCATTGTATCTAGACAATGTAATTAATTATATGTAATTATTAAATTATTATTATTAAATTGTATTATGTAATTATTTATCATTTTATTTATATTTTTATATTAATTATGTAAATAATTTTATTATTTTTTCAACCAAATCGTCATTATTTAAAAAAAAAATCACAATTTGCTCTCGGTAATGAACGCATGTACGTTGTACGGTGCTTAAACACGTTCATAATAACGGTAAAAAATTACGAAATTTCTGCTCACTACAATACCAGAATTAATAAATAAATGTTTTTGTATGTTGGTAAGTTTGCGTGTGTGCGTGTGTGTATGTGCGTGTATGCGTGTGTGTGTGTGTGTGCGTGTGTGTGTGTGTGGTTGGTTCGTGGAGATATGTGATATTGCTTATTGACTTGACTTCTATGGCGTCTCATTCTTTGGATCTGACGCTTCATAAATGACTTTGTGGTGATGATGATGATGATGACGGTGATAATGAGATGATGGTGAGGATGATGACGGTGATTATGATGATGATGACGGTGATGATGATGATAGCGAAGACGATGATGGCGATGATTATCCGCTTAAAGAAGATGATTGTAACAAAGTTATGCATTTACTTATAATGAAAACAACGAAGATGATGATGAAGATAATAATAATGATGATGATAATGATGGCAATGACAATATGACATAACGGTAGCAACAACAACAGCAGTAACAATTATTGCAACTACTACTACAACAACAGTAACAATTACAACAATAACAGCAACTACTACTACTACTAATAATACTACTATTACTACCACTAATACTTCTACTGCTATTACTACTACTACAACGACGAAGATAAAAAATTTAAAAGTAAAAAATGTAAAAACAATATCAAGAGAAGTTATATCTTAACGAAAAAATGTAAAAATGAAGAAAATGAGATGATGGACTGAATAATGAAGGAGGAGAGGAGGAATTAAGTTATTGCTTTCCTTTCTACCCGGAGATGCAGTGGAATATTAATGCAGCGCTTCAAAATGATGACCTCAACGGTGGTGAAGAGGATGACGTCACTATGATGATGACGACGTAACGATGATGATGATGTAACGATGATGATGATGTTGATGATGATGACGTTAATATTGATGATGATGTTGATAGTGAGAATGATGACGATAATATTGGTGATGATGATAGTAGAGTTCTCAGATTACATCAATTATTCAGTGATGTGGAATAGTTTTAAATGTTTTTTTTTCAAAATGGCAGTTGTAGTAGTAGTAGCAGCAGCAGTAGTAGTAGTAATAACAGTAGTAGTAGTAGTAGTAGCAACTGCAATAGTAGTAGTAACAGTTTAGCAATGTCCGGCTCTTTGACAAGTGCAATATGCTACGACGATGCCGATTAATTGAATGCCTCATTTGCTGGTGATGTCCTTGGCGGGTGATAAAAATTCTTTATGATGAGAAAGATGTTTGATAATAATGAGGATGATGATGATGAGGAAAATGATTATGGTGAGTAGGAAGAGGAAGAAGAAGAAGATGATGATGACGAGTAGGAAGAAGAAGAAGATGATGATGACGAGTAGGAAGAAGAAGAAGATGATGATGACGAGTAGGAAGAAAAAGAAGATGTCGGTGATGTGTAAGAGGAAAAAGATGATGGAGCTAAGAAAGATGATGATGGGTATGTTGGTGATGACGTTGATAATAATGATTTTGTTGTTTATGTTCGTTTGATATTGTATCAATAACTTTGAAGCCGTTTTATCGTCCAATAACTTAATCCATCACACATTAATTATTTTTTCATCATTCGTTCATTCATTCCTTTGTTTGATCTTTTGTTTAATCAATCAATAAATAGTTTTTGTTGACAGGCATTTAATCAATCAGTCAATCAGTCGATGAGTTATTCATGTGTAACATTATCAACATCATTATTAATTCTTTCATTAATATTTTCATTCAATCGTGCTTTCATTAAATCAGTGACTCAATCAATCATCTCTATACTCAATCAATCAACAAATCAACCAATCAGCATTCAGGCAACAACCCAGCCAGCCAACCAACCAATCGCCAATCAGTAAAATTTTTGTTTACATTCTGCTGTGCGACTCAACCAATCAACTCGCCATCAACGATGTCAGACCATATAATGGACATTAATGTTCATTTCGGTGCATTATTTTATGTATACGCATATGTTTGTATGTATGTATGTATGTATGTATGTATGTATGTATGTATGTATGTATGTATGTATGTATGTATGTATTATTATTATTATTATTATTATTATTAAAACACTTAATAAGGCGCCAATTAAAATCAAAAAGTTCTCAAAAGCGCCATCCATAGCAATTAAAAAAAATAAAGAACAGTATACAATGGCAGTTATTAATAAACAGTTCAAAATCAAAATCAAAGTGCAAATAAATAAGTTTTCAATTTCTTCTTAAAATCATCCAGCTTCAAGTCTTTAGATTTCAAAAATCTTGGCAAACTGTTCCAAACAGCCGGTCCTGAAACAGCCAGATTTCTTGACGCGATCTGTAAATTGATATCCGGGACAACCAGCAAAATATTATCATCTGACCTCAGCTTCATGCCACTCATCATTACGGATTTTTCTTCTATTTTATTGATCAGATAACCTGGTAACAGACCATGTAACGCTTTATACATTATTAGGCCTATTTTGTATGTAATTCTTTTTTTAACAGTGAGCCAATGAAGACTTTCCAAAATAGGAGTTACATGATTGTATCTGAGACCACCGACAATCAACTTGGCCGCTCTGTTCTGTACGGACTGAAAAGTAGAAACATGTTTATCAGGTAACCCGTAAAAAAGGCTATTGCAGTAATCTAGTTTTGAAAGAACAAGTGCATGCACCAACGTCTGAATAGCCGATTTATTTAAAGAATTACGTACTTTGTATAACTCTCTAATCTGAAAGGAACATGCTCACACTATCGTTTTTATATGATCCTGCATCGATAATCTGGTATCCAGTAAACAACCCAAACTAGTTACTTTGTCACAGAACCCAATCTTGACGTCATCAATTTCCACCGAATCAATATTTAGTTTTGTCAACTGCTGCCATGTTCCAACGGGAAGAAATTGTGATTTCTGTTGGTTCAATTTGAGACCATTGTTAGACATCCACGTTTCAACATTGCTTAGACACTGGACCAGTCTATTTATTTCACATTGTAGTAGTTCTGGCTTATTACTAATTATTATTTGTATGTCGTCAGCGTAAGCGTGATACTTAAAACCAAACTCATCAATAATCTTTAAAACCCCAGCAGTGTACATGACAAAAAGAATAGGTCCCAACACTGAGCCTTGAGGTACTCCTGATGTTAAGACCATTACATCAGATAAAACATTTCTGAAAACAACCTGTATGTATGTATGTATGTATGTATGTATGTATGTATGTATGTATGTATGTATGTATGTATGTATGTATGTATGTATGTATGTATGTATCAAAATCAAATCAAATCAAATCAAATCACTTTTATTCAATCAAACAAAACAAAAGCATGAATGATTCGGAGACCAAAAAAAAGAAAATTAATTCTTGTGGGCTCGGCCACCGTGCAGCTCAAAATTGCTTCTCAATGATAAAATAAAATTGTCAGTAGGAGAAAATGTATCAATGTCAATGAAATATGTACACACTTATATACATATATATACATATACATTATTATCCTTGAAAAACAGAACTTTTCGTAATTAAAAAATTTTTCAGTTTATTTTTAAAAAGATGCAAAGTGTTACAATCTTTAATTTCTTGTGGAATCGTCTCCCATATTCCTGGGCCGGTGTGTTTCAAACTCATGCAGAGTACTTTAATTCTGGCTGGTGGAGCATAGAAAAGTGGCGTGTGGCGTGTAGTTCTTGCTTGAATGGAAGTTCCAAAAGTGAAAAAGTTTCTAAAAAATGCCGGCAACTGCTGACGTAGAAATCTAAAAATGAATGTTGCAACGTGGTAGATGAACAAGTTTTTGATGTTGAGTATTTTCATCTCGAGATAATATTCACTTGTGTGACAATGAGGATGAAGATTTTTAAATATTCTGATGAATCGGTTTTGGCATTTTGTTAACTGTTTTAGATGAATGTCAGGACTGTTTCCCCAAATTACGTTGCAGTAGATGAGGTGAGGAAAGA